CTTTGGCAACATTTGATGCACACGCCATTCCGAAATCGCAGGAGGGTCGGTGTAATGCACTACCAAAACGCCCGTAACTAAGAAACAAATGCTAATTCGATGATGCCGGCTGGCACACTGATTCACTATGAATGTAGGCCGCACCCCCTAGCGGCAGAACCTCGTACTACATCCGGTTCGCCCTCTATTGACACAGTCTTGAAACTTTCCGATCGCACCTCGTATTTAGTCATAAACTGGGCTGTCACCCAAGTCAGACAGACTTCAGTATTTCACAGAATATTATCGATACAGTTTCTTTAACCAATCAAAGCCCATGCGTGTTTAACTTTATGGTCTTTCTTGCATTCAATCTGTACACGTGACATTCTGTACTGTAATAATGTGTTCAGAACAAAGCTTACACTAGTCATATGTATGCAGAGTTGTCAGATAACAATGATGAAAAATTATGTACTCATTCTAGACTCTACGATAATGAAATGTGACTAGAAGAGGTTTTCAGCTGTTTCACGTGATAACACCTTGCAAACGCAGTGACATCAAGTTTTCTTATAAAAACCTACATTTAGGTAATATACTATAGCTCCTGAGCAAATTAAGAAATGAAATAGTTAACATTTGGTTAATTTTAAATGGCTACGAGCAACAGCTTTCTCGATTGCTCATGATGTGAAATGAATATCATAGGAAGCATGTTTCCTCTCCACCTTCACGTGATGCCTGAAGAAAAAACTGCAGAATATATGGAAAGAGCAGAAGTTCCTCTGTACCTGGCCTTTCAGTTTGGGGTAACATCCCCTTGTGAAGTCGCTGAAACTCTTGAATCTTCATTCGCTTCCATCAGCAGTTTTGTGCACTATGAATGAAAAGCTAAGTGAATTGCCACGCCATCTCTTGGGGAGGTATAAACTAATGGGCCCGCAAACATTACCTCCTTGGGTATCTTATAACCCGATAGGAACACCGAAAACTCAAAGCTAAGTGACCTGCTTCGCCCTCTATTGGCAAAGACATTAACTAATGTAAGCAATGTGGAGAGAAAAAAAGATTAATTTTAAATTTACATTACGTGCCCTTTTCAATGGACTGCCAATCTACAACTGCATTAAAAATCAGCACAGTTTTTCTTCCATTTGATATAAGAAATTTATGTGACAATAATCTTCCTTTCACATATTCGGAACTGGAGTATTAAATGAACAAAGGAGAAGCTTTATTTTTCTTCTGCTTTTCCTGAACTGTACGTCAAAGTTTGAGAATATTTTATGAACAGTCTTGTAAATGGATTAAACAGAGTAGGATTTGAGGTTTTCACAGCAGTGAGTCTGAAGATTCATCATCGTGGCGAACAATTCCCTGATGATGGAGGCAACATGGACCTCTGAAACGTTGTTGGACATCTACCAGACTACGTGGCGCAACAACCCTGAAGACAGCAATCTTCGGATGAAGCAGAATTTAGTTTGTAACCAACACAAAGCAAGGAAAATCATTTGGCAGTCCACTTCTGGACAAGAACATGCAACGGCTTCTTCGATGGTCTCCCCACTAAAAGGACCATTGAGTTCCTGGATCTCAGCAGGTTCCAAGCTTTACGACTACTGTCACCTAAAGAGTTGATAACGCCATTTATTGGGTTCATCACAAAATAGAAATGGTCTCAGATACCCTTTGCGATTGATAGGCCTCGCCGAGTTACGACTTCGCCATTTGGGCAAGGATTTCCTGAAACCGGGCAATTAGGATACTGCATCTTTCTGTATTCACAAGGATGTTGGTGGATTAGAAGAACCGGGATGCACAAAAGATCAGTAATGGTCATAGTGCAGGGGTCAGTTTGGCCCCCTCCCCATTTATACACATACATATATATATATATATATATATATACGCGAGTATTAAGAGTGAATTTCTAAGTGAATGACCCAGCCAAGTGATTGTACTTTTGCTTCGTAGCTATTAGGGAGATCCCTCGTTCAAGTCTCTGCCCAGGTTGTACACGGTTTTCCTCAGTCCCTCCAGGCAAATGTTGGGACAGTGCTTTAAATAAGCCCACGACCGCTTCCTTCCTTATCCTTTCCAATTCATTATTCATCCTATCATTCGACGCTGCATAGTCTCAGCTACGGACACTTTTTAAAATCAAGTCATAAATAAACAAAACACAATCACATTCCATCGCTGTAATCATGAACATATTTTAAATCAATCACACTTTGATTTTTGTTCCTTAATACTTTTATGTGGTCTTCGGAGCCTCGCCAATTAGTCTCCGTCTCAAAGCAGGGGAGAAAACGCAATCCCTACATGCATCAGTACGAAATCAACTCTGTGGCATACACGTTACTACAATGCAGCCCACCGCAATAACGTGGATTACTTGCGTTCCAGAGGAATCCACTTTCACCCAACTTATCTGCAGTTATCACATCACGTCTTCAGATTGTAGTTTTGCTCCGCGCTGTGATACGACGCGATCCTTTGTTTCATTCAAGTCGCTTATGAGAGTATCAGATGCTGAGATCTTCTACGTCTTCTTATCTTTTCATTTTCTGATACGACGAAGTTTAATAAGCAACCGCCCTTTCTTTCATGGAGTGTAGAAAAGTATATATTCTATACACCGACGTTAATGACGCAACAGTTTTAGGCCAAACTTCGGCATATTAGAAATCTTAAAACGTCTGCATTAATTAAGAGGTGTCTGTAAATAAATGAAGATTCTGATGACCTAAAAATAGATCACACAGGGCCTACGTACCTGAGACTAAAGTTTAAGAAGTTAAATAACAGAGGTGAATTTACCAATACACGTGTAGTCGATTTAGTTAATGAGAACGGACTTTGATTCTGGTAGTTTATCAACTCAGACTTCATTCAAATTCTAACACGGCATCATAGACTAAGAAAGCTTTCATAGTTTGAGACATTTTCAATAGTCTCTCTTGATTTAATCACAACTGGTGGGGGGAGTGGAGTTGAGAAGTAATTTATGAATACATTATGAGGTTTTCTACGTTCAGACAAAATTGAAACTGCTTGTGGGAATGGACTTTGTGCGGCTTGAGGATCTGTTGTCTGGTCCGCGTGTCTTTGAGGAAGTTGTGGCAAAGACTTCTCAACTTGTGGAAGTGGTATAACATTTATATATGAAGTGGTGCTGTAAATAGGAGAAATACTTCCCTTCTGAGGCTTAACTGTTGTTACTACTAACCCCAAATCTGTTGTTGCTTCTTCTGAAATTGCTTTTGAATCAAGAATATGTTCATTTTGAGTTGGTGAATTGATTTTGTGGCTTACAGCAGCTTGTTCATTTGAAACCAAACCAAAATTTGCAGTTTCTTTTCTAGAAGGTGTTTTCTTCTGCAACTGTGATGTAAGAAAAGCGGAAGTAATGCGGTCACTATTTCTGTTCTGAAATAACTTTTTATCGGTCTCACCTGTTGATGTAGTAACTTCCGCTTTTCTTTCTATTTCCTCCAAAGGGCTAGAATTTGTACTTGTTTCAAATAATTCTAAAATTATATCTGTTTCAGTGAAATTGGATTTCTGTGCACTGTGTTCATTAATACCAGTTCTAAAATTTGTTTGTGAATTTTCAAAAAGTCGGGATGAAACTGGAGGTTTTGTGTTTGATTTTACCGATGCTTTCGTAGTTAAATTAAAACTGCTACTCCCATTGTCACTTGCATTTTCTTCTATGTCCACTGTTGGTCTTTGCATTTGTTCCTCAATTCCTTCACCGACCACATCGTGCACACAATAATCACTTTGTTTTTCAGAACCGCACTCATCAACTGGAATAAACATCTCATCGTCTGTTTTTGCTGAAGGTAAGTGCTCACTGTTACTGTCAGTTTTTGTTTCCTTTGAATCACCGTACTCTTCATCATAATAATACTCATACTCATCTAAAGTAACATCACTATTAAAAGAATCTAATTTTGGCACAGTTTTTATTTCTAAATTCTGATCTGGTTTCAAAGTATCATTCTTATTCATATACAAAATAATTTGTGTCGCATTTGTTGGAAATATTACGTCTGTCAAACTGGTAATGTTGGCATCAGTTTTAACGTGACCATTTGTCTCTAATGTATCAGACTGACGAAAACTTTTCACGTCATGACTTGGTACCAACGTAATAAATTCAGAATAATTTTTAATATTTGAATTCTCTTCTAATGTATGGTTAGTTTGTTCAGTGTTCTCTGGAACAGAAGTCATATTTTCATCACTGTAGACATAATCATCAGTATCTTTTACCTCACTTCCGTCTGATTTTTTTTGCATGGCTGTCTCATCTAGAACAGGAATCGTTGCCTTTGATTCACTAAGATTAAGCTCAATAGCAAATGAAGTACTTTCTGTAGTGTATTCCACAAAACTTTCATGAGGTTGAGAAGAGGTCCTGTTACTTCCATCGCTGTCAGTAGTAACCTTCCCTACCAAAGCTAAAGATTCCTGATCATCGTCTTCATTTTCCTGATGTTCCAATAGATGCAATTCTGGTCTTTTATCATTCTCAGATTCATAATCATAATCTTCAACAGAAATTACGCTCTTTGATTTTTCTATTTGATCATTTTCTGATGACATGTCCTTATTAATTGGTTTCGCTACATGAGCTTCATAATTGTCATCTACATAGTCATAATAGTCCGATGCTTCTATCTCAGCTTCACGTTTCATCTTGTAATTCTCATCCTCCTTTTTTGGTGACTTAAACATTCTTAATTTGATCTGTGAACCCTTTTCAGTGATGTGATAGTTATTCCCAACTTTGGTCCCTGTAGATGTACTCGTCTCGAATGAATGTTGAGGAACAGAGTACAATGCACAGACCACTTCTTTCCGCGCGCCACAATCTTTCTCTGCTTGGTTGAACACCTTACCCGGAGGACAGACAAAGGATGATTCCAAGGTCATTACTCCAGAAATGGTACGACAGAAGTGAAATACTTGACACCGTGTTTCCAAATCAGCATATAGCCCATCATGAGGCTTATTTCCACAGGTGAACGATGTCTTCGGCAGGTTGTTCACATTGTATTGTGGCTGTGGGCCCTCGCCAGATGGTGAAGATGCTGAAACAGGTAAAACATTATAAAATTGCTTTAGTGTCTGTAATTTAATGTCTGACTCCTTGATGCAACTTAATAGAAAAGTAGTTACCACATAAGGTTTTGTTATACTCTGTTTTCATTTGTATGCAAGGATGTCAACATATGTACATCTTTGTACACAATTTAAAATACTGGCATTTTGTATAAACTGTTGCCCAGACAGTAGAATATAAATATATCTTTATTGATCTCATATAAGTTATATATCATTCCGCAGAAAGTCACCACCTCTTAACTCTGAACAGGGCAAATAAAACTCAGAAAGAAATTGTATAACTTAGTTCAGATGTTCACAATCTGCAGCCCACTACTGTGCTTCTCCTCACTCAGAATTCTTGTTACCTTACAGAATAGATTTGAACTTGTGGTACGAAGGTGAACCTGGAATGAGGTTCTACTCATGTGCAGTGTGCATTTTCCTAAAAGGAAATACATAAGTTCTTACTTGTCTGCTTTCTTGATTATATGTACGCTATACATACAACAAGTCTAGCACTATAAATTTTCAAAGTTTATATAACACTTCTCTCTTCACAGAGTCATAGGCTATTTTGAGATCTATAAATAATTGATGTACGGTCCCACCGAACTCCCATTTTTTCTCTAGTATCTGACAAAAGCAAAAGATCTGATCAATCGTTGATCTGTTTCGTCTGAACACACACTGATGATCCCAATAATTTCATTCGCATATGGGGTTAATCTTGCCAAAATAATGTTTGATAGAATTTTGTATGAGGTTGATAGCAGCGAAATTACCACACTCGGTCTTGTCCCCCTTATGAATATGAATAATTATGGGTTCCTTCCATAGTTGTGGCATCTCTTCCTTATCCCAAATTAACTGAATAAGCTTATGGATCCTCATATGCAACCCTTTGCCACCTGCTTTAATTAATTCGGCCGGAATCTGATCAATTCCTGGAGATTTATAACTTTTCAACTTCCCAATGGCTAGTTCCACTTCATCTAAGCTAGGTTCTGGCACCAACAGTTCAGCTGTATGCATTTTAATCAGTCTAATATCACCAGTCTCATGAACATTTAAGAGCTCGCTAAAGAAATTTTTCCACCTATTCACAATTTTTATTGGATCTGCAAGCAAATTGCCACGATCATCCTTTACCAAGTTGGTCTGGGGTTGATATCCGTTCTTAAAGTTTTTAATGTCTCTGTACAGGCCTCTGATATTTTTTTCATCATTATTTGTCTCAAGTTCAGCAATTTTGCCCTTCAGGTATTCCCTTTTCTTAGTCCTAAAGGTTCTACTAGCCTCACGTCTCACGTTACATAGATTATCCGCATTTGTTTTGTTTGGGTTCTGCAACCATTGAAATTTTGTTTGCTTCCTTCGATCTATTAATTTTGAACATTCTTCATCAAACCACGGTTTATTTTGCTTTCTCCTGTAGTATCCTAGTTTCTCTTTTGCTGAAATTTTGATGCAGTTTCTGACATTTTCCCACTCCCTGTTGATGTCCACACTTTCATTATCCTCATTTGTCTCTAAAATTTGAAACCTATTCGAAATTTCAACTTGATATTGTTCCTTTGCCTCTCCCTCACTTAATTTTTTCAAATCAAATCTTTCTGTGTCAAAATTTTGTTTAGTTCGTCTACTTACTGAAAGCCGCTCCCTCACTTTTGCTACCACCAGATAATGATCAGTGTCGCAATCTGCTCCTCTGAATGATCTCACATCAATTACATTTGTCTGCCTTCTCTTATCTACTAAAACATGATCTATTTGATTGTGTGTTCTGCCATCTGGGGAAGTCCAAGTGTATTTATGAACATCACGGTGTGGAAATTTTGTACTTTTTACAATTAAATCTTTTGACGTAGCAAAGGTCACTGCTCTGACGCCATTATCATTACTAAGTGCATGGAGACTCTCGCTGCCTATTGTGGGTTTGAAGACATCCTCCCTCCCAATTTTTGCATTGAAATCTCCTAGCAGAATTTTCATGTGATACTTGCCAAATGTATCAAATACTGATTCCAATTCTTCATAAAAGCTATCCTTGATATCATCGCTTTTGTCTTCAGTTGGGGCATGAACATTAAGGACAATGATGTCGCACCAACGTCCTTCCAAAATTACGTAAGACAACCTGTCACTAACAAATTCTACTCTCTTAACTGCTGCCCTAATTCTGCTATGAACAAAAAAACCCGTCCCTAGCTGATGATTGTCATTCCCCTTTCCATAGAAAAATGTAAAATTGTCCACTGGGATCGTCCCCTCCCCCTCCCATCGCACTTCCTTCATCAAACCACGGTTTATTTTGCTTTCTCCTGTAGTATCCTAGTTTCTCTTTTGCTGAAATTTTGATGCAGTTTTTGACATTTTCCCACTCCCTGTTGATGTCCCCACTTTCATTATCCTCATTTGTCTCTAAAATTTGAAACCTATTCGAAATTTCAACTTGATATTTTTCCTTTGCCTCTCCCTCACTTAATTTTTTCAAATCAAATCTTTCTGTGTCAAAATTTTGTTTAGTTCGTCTACTTACTGAAAGCCGCTCCCTCACTTTTGCTACCACCAGATAATGATCAGTGTCGCAATCTGCTCCTCTGAATGATCTCACATCAATTACATTTGTCTGCCTTCTATTATCTACTGAAACATGATCTATTTGATTGTGTGTGCTCCCATCTGGAGAAGTCCCAAGTGTATTTATGAACATCACGGTGTGGAAATTTTGTACTTTTTACAATTAAATCATTTGACGTAGCGAAGGTTACTGCTCTAACACCGTTATCATTACTAAGTACATGCAGACTCTCGTTACCTATTGTGGGTTTGAAGATATCCTCCCTCCCAATTTTTGCATTTAAATCTCCTAGCAGAAATTTCATGTGATACTTGCCAAATGTATCAAATACTTTTTCCAATTCTTCATAAAAGCTATCATTGATATCATCCCTTTGTCCCCAGTTAGGGACTTCAGTGTCCCAGGCTTATAGAGACTCCAAATGTTCCATATCTCTTATCCTTTTTCAATTGCCATGCTCCTGCCGAAGAGTTCGTGCTGGTCCAAGGATTAGTTAATGTGTTCTTAACATTGCTCTTTTCACGGTGAAAGGTTGTTAGCCCAACCTCCAAGCTCGAAGGGTCCACGCCATACATGGAAGATAAGTGAACAGCCACTCCATGTATTGGCGAGGACACGAACTAATGAAAAGCTAAGTGAATTGCCACGCCATCTCTTGGGGAGGTATACTTCGTCAGAGTAAGAGACCATGTTTCGCACCCATACAAAACAACGGGCAAAATTATTTTGTATATTCTATTCTCCTGATCCTTAAATTATTAGATTCCCAGCATTTTTTGATTTTTCGAAAATTTAAAAAAAAATCATTTTTTTTAAACATTCTACCCACTCGATCACTGCCAGAATCGGTCTCTGCCGTACGCTCCACCCGACGCACTCGGTCTCCGTCTCGGTACAATCCGTTCTCTACATCCGGATCTCTGCCGGGCCGCGTAAGGCAGAGACCGGGGAAGTTAGAGAACGAGTATAGAGGACAAAGGGTGTTGTAGAGATATGTTATAACAGACAGAGAGCAAGGAAGACACCGGATAAGGTAGAGACCGTTTCGGATAGAGATATTTCTATAAAAAATTTCAAAAAATCGTGTAAATTGTCTTGAAACCGCACTAAACCAAAATTTTTCGAAATATTATAACATTTTATTGAAGTTGATATTTTTCAGTTTGTTTTACGTTTGTGCGCTTTTTGGACAATTTCCAGCATTTTTTGATTTTTGGAATTTTTTTAAAAAAATGAACTTTTTTTTCTTCAAAAATTCTACCCACACGATCTCTGCCGGTCTGTCTCTGCAAAGATCTGGTTCGGCTGAGACCGCGTAAGACAGAGATCGGGTGACGCACAGACCGAGTCCGGCAGAGATCGGTTGAGGCAGAGAGCGAGTCTGGTCGAGAACGTGTATGGCAGACACCTTTTTCAGCAGAGACCGGACGAAGGAAAAAATTGAGCACAAGCAAATTGAGAGAAGGCAGCGAGATCAGGAGGGTTGGCTGTAAGAAAAGATACTACATAAAGTGGAAATGTCTTAGGAGGAAAAATACACTCATATTTACACGAGATTGTTTTTTGTGTGATATTAGAAGATTTCAAAAGCCAACATCTCTACAGCAAAACTTTGAGAATATTTTAGGAAAATATCATAATGAATCAGTAAAAAGTTTTTAATTGTGTAATTGGTACAAGTTTCATAACAATTCTTCACTAACGGAGATGTTGAAAATGCCTATCTTAACACTTTATGTACAATTTGGCATTAGAACAAAAACTGACAGTAAAGTTTTTGAAGTTTTCCTGTAATTTGAAGGTACTGGATACTTATTATCAACGCCATAATTCCAGAAAGATTTAATTATTGTATCTGAAATGGCCTAGTTTCAGAAATATTTAATTATTGTATCTGAAATGGCCTACCTGTTGGTGCTCTCCGTTTTGTTCGTATCTTCTGTGCTTCAAAGCGAACGTTATACTTTGAAATATCATCTGCAAAAATGAAACAATTTATTTTAGATTTGGATAAAAGTAACTCTCATAAAACAAAACACGTAGGTCACTGACTGTCAGAAGAGAGGTCCATATGACGGAGTATCTTTATAGCCTAAACTACATTCTCTTGAAAACACTGGAGCTGGATGATAGTGTATAAGTGTTAATGGAATATCCAGTGCACTCCCATTTACATGCATAACAGAACAGCAGTTCCATAGGGACAGGTCTCTACAGACTTTTTTTTATGTAAATGAGAAAGTACGTAGACTTATCATTCTGGGAGCATTTTTGAATTTCACAACACCAACGAGTTAATGTGCAGGGTTTCTGAAGTATCTAGAGGGAAGCAGGGTGTTGCAAGGCGTTGAAAACTGACAAATTTTGATGTATCTGAATAGTGTCGGACACTATCAGTTTAAAAATGGCCGCAAAAGTGCCTTCCAATCTGCCCAAATACGTGATTCCAACATCAGCTAACATACCCAAAGGTACCAGTTAAAGATGTAATGTGGTAGGCGAATAATGGAATCCCCAAATCCTCGTAAATTTGCCTGTTACTAACGAACGTACGTCAAGTGCTTTAGTCAAAATGCAAAGACGCTTGGATTGCAACATTTTCAGCTTCTGGGAATCGCTGCAAAGTAACCAAATTCAACTAAATCTTTCCTTAACAGCTAAGACATTGTGTATGGTCGTAAGCACATGTGCGCATTGCAGACTGCACATAGGCATACGAGGTGCGATCGGAAAGTTTCTAGACTGCGCCTATAAAAACCCGTACACTTATCTCAGGTATTAAATTCATCCATCACCCTCGAAGTAGTTCCCCTGGGAGTGAACACAACGATCCCAGCGCCGCTGCCAAGCCTGGAAGCATCCCTGGAAATCTTTCTTTGTCAGCCTGTCAAGCACCATCTGCGATTCTGCCTGAATCTCTTCTATCGTCTCAAATCGCCTTCCCTTTAGCTGAATTTTCATCTTTGAGAAGAGGAAACCTTAGAAAGGAAGTTGGGGTCGGTTCTTGCAAGATCTTTGAGCTCCTAACAAACGAGAAGTCGATTCTGCTTCTGGTCCTCAGACAGGAGCCTTGGCACAAACTTGGCTGCGATGCGTCGCATGTAGAGTTCTTCCTTTAGAATCAGCTGACAGGTCCCATAGCCTATCCCAACAATGTCGCACAAGTCGTCGATGGTACGACGTCGATCTTCGTGAATGGCCTGCCAAATCTTCGTAACATTTTCGGGCGTTGTGCTCGAAGATGGTCGTCCAGAACGCTCGTCATCATCGACAGAGGTTCAGCCATTTTTAAAACGTGAATGCCACACAAAAGTTGGTGCACGACCCATTGCGGACTCCCCAAATGCTTGCTTGACCTAACACATTAAAATATATCTGTCCCTTAGAAGCTAAACATTGTGCATGGCTCTCTGCGCATGTGCACTTGGACGACACCAATTCACCTAATAAAATTCAACACAAACTAAATGCATTGCTGAAAATGGTAAACAGTGCTTTACAACTAAAGCACTCTGCCTCTCCCCAGCGTGTGACAGTCCGTCCGATGGTAGGCATGGAACCTTAGTGCCCAACCTGATGCTAGGTACGTCGCGTTCAGGAGGCTAACATCAACACAGTGTTCCAATTCCAGCTTCCTGCCGCAAACACCATCAGCATTCCAGAAAACCAGCCGCAAGGCTTTAACCTCGTACGTCGCAGTCACACTCTGCTAAGAAGAGGATCTTATTCCCTGTATCAGGTATTGAACGAGGCTAAGTTATTAAAATGTGTAAATAATTATATTGCACATTAATAGCCTAAGTACTTCACCTGGAGACTGCAACTCGAAATGGCGGTTGACATGGTACAGGGAGGCTGACAATCTGCAGTCCACCAAGTGCTTTGCTTGACATGTTCTGCTTTCCTGACTGAATCTTGTGTCAGGTCCACACAAAAACTTGTTATCTGTTATTCTGTAACAAACAGGAATATCATTAAGCATGAACATAAGTTGTTACAGAAAATAAAAATCATGAACTTCATCTCTACATGGATTAGGGTCATATAAGGAACAAGATATACAGCAGGAAATGCCCAGGAGAGTCAAAATTGATCAAGAAGATTCTGCAAACCTACAGATCATTCAAAACGAGTCCAGAAATAACTGGTGCATGAGTAGTCCTCCGGCTGGTCGCGACGCTATTCCAATTGTGGCACTGTTCCCTCCTCAAGACCGCTCGTTCCAAGCAGCCTCTAGGTATGTTGCCAGTGTTTCAAAGTTTCTTGACACTCTTTTTGCCCTGAGATATCAATGAATCCTGCTGACAACATCGTTCACCTTGCAGGTCCTTCCGATAATTGTTCGAGCATAGACGATTTCCGTCTCGTCAGTGTCAGGTGACACAACCATACTTGGGCTCCTTCCAATTCACCTAATAAAATTCAACACAAACTAAATGCATTGCTGAAAATGGTAAACAGTGCTTTACAACTAAAGCACTCTGCCTCTCCCCAGCGTGTGACAGTCCGTCCGATGGTAGGCATGGAACCTTAGTGCCCAACCTGATGCTAGGTACGTCGCGTTCAGGAGGCTAACATCAACACAGTGTTCCAATTCCAGCTTCCTGCCGCAAACACCATCAGCATTCCAGAAAACCAGCCGCAAGGCTTTAACCTCGTACGTCGCAGTCACACTCTGCTAAGAAGAGGATCTTATTCCCTGTATCAGGTATTGAACGAGGCTAAGTTATTAAAATGTGTAAATAATTATATTGCACATTAATAGCCTAAGTACTTCACCTGGAGACTGCAACTCGAAATGGCGGTTGACATGGTACAGGGAGGCTGACAATCTGCAGTCCACCAAGTGCTTTGCTTGACATGTTCTGCTTTCCTGACTGAATCTTGTGTCAGGTCCACACAAAAACTTGTTATCTGTTATTCTGTAACAAACAGGAATATCATTAAGCATGAACATAAGTTGTTACAGAAAATAAAAATCATGAACTTCATCTCTACATGGATTAGGGTCATATAAGGAACAAGATATAAGAGGATCTTATTCCCTGTCTCAGGTATTGACCGAGGCTAAGTTATTAAAATGTGTAAATAATTATGTTGAACAATAATAGCCTAAGTTCTTCACCTGGAGACTGCAACTCGAAATGGCGGGTTACTGGCCTTCAGTCTGTCACTGGTCACCATAAGATGTTGACAAGCGTTAAGACGCGTATCACTTACTCGAATGGGTGAAATGGCAAATATAGCCATCTCCCAAAAGAATGCTGGGTAATGTAGTGCCTCTGATATCGTGGGTTAATATTGTATAGATATAAGATAAATAGGCAGTATCTCGTGCCACATCTACGAGTTGACAAGACATTTCTCAGATGCACAGCAGTCTTCATGTGTCGCTCCACATTGCCATCCGACTGCAGTTAAAGAGGAGTGGTCTATGCCTTGCTTACTGGAACACCACCTACAGTAATAAAGACTCAACATTTTGAAATTTCCTGCAGCAACTGAACCTTGAAAGGTTTCAAATTAAGCGTTCTATGGATAACTCTCCTAACAGTGCTTATTAAAATTCCTAGTTTCTTCTAGCCCTTCTGGTCTGACTGATTTCTTTAATGGTGGTTTCTTCCACAAACTTTTCTTGTAACCAGCGCTAAATAGTAGTCACAGTCCTTGATTTGTGAAACCATGTAACATTTTCAGTTTTTTGTTGTTTTGACGCAATTTTACAATTTGGGCTATGGCAGTGCTGCAATGGCCATACGAGTTGGTAAACTTCACGTGTTCCCGTATATGTTTGAATTTATTTCGATACTGTAACCAATTTGTAACAATGAATATCTACAAAACATAATCATCTCTATCATTCTGAGATACTACATGTGATTTTCTGTGAAACAAATTACTTAAAGAAAATACACAATACAATATTTTAAATACAAAGTATAAAATATAATGGACTAAATTAATCATGAAACGAGATTATATATAGTATATCACTACTAGCGGTTAAAACGCTGGCCTTGTAATCCTGGGGGTCTCGGGTTTGATTCCCGGCGGTGCCCGAATTTATAAGACTGTCCTAGCATAGATGATTTTCGTCTCGTCAGTGTGAGGTGACACAACCATACTTGGGCTCCTTCCCGGAATCCACCAAAATTCGCAATGTTACTGGCCTTCAGTCTGTCACTGGTCACCATAAGATGTTGACAAGCGTTAAGACGCGTATCACTTACTCGAATGGGTGAAATGGCAAATATAGCCATCTCCCAAAAGAATGCTGGGTAATGTAGTGCCTCTGATATCGTGGGTTAATATTGTATAGATATAAGATAAATAGGCAGTATCTCGTGCCACATCTACGAGTTGACAAGACATTTCTCAGATGCACAGCAGTCTTCATGTGTCGTTCCGCATTGTCATCCGACTGCAGTTAAAGACGAGTGGTCTATGCCTTGCTTACTGCCAGGCACTGCAACACCACCTACAGTAATCAAGACCCAAAATTTTGCCCATGGTTATTGTGCTTTCATCTCGGTAACAGCGACAAAAGATGGTCACTAGGACACAAGGAAGTCAACAGCCCCGCCTGTAGGAGATGCCACCATAAAACAGAAATGGCCTCACAAATCTTATGTGAATGTGTGGTTAAATTAAGATTTTGTCACCTGCGTAGGTATTTTATGTGACAGGATGACAATCAAGTGATTCCACTATGTAAAATACTCCACTTTGGTGCAGGTCTGGGGCTACTAGTAGATTCAGAGAATGGGGATACTCGAAGTTCCAATTAACTATCATAGTGCAAAGGTTAGTTTGGTGCCTACCCAATTTACATTCATTCATTCCTCTTTCTTCATCTGAATGTGAAAGAGACGTTTTTCAGCTAAAATCTCAAAGTGACTCCACTAAGTTCTTCTTTGTTGATTAACGCCATCTTAGCAATGCCGTTCATCACAATTGTTGGGCCCTCTCTCACTAATCAAAACCTAACAAACTATGTTTAAACATGGCTGCTTTGCAGATGACATTCTGCACCAACTACACATGGGAAACAATGAAGACATGACACAGATTTCAAACGTCTTATAACATTAATCTTTAGGTCATCTGTTGTCCACTACTGAAGAGAATTTTTAAGAATGTCATTACAGTTGAAGCCCCTTTTGCAGAACTGTTAAACATGAGTTCCAATAACATTTATTCCACAGAACACAAGACAATTATGATTTACTATACATAATTAAACAAAGCAAATACAACAGTGAAATATCTTGAGATGTACATAAATACTTCAAATTCACACAAATTCAGCGTGCATGCCATAAATCACGCGAAAACTATCAAGGTATTATTGAAGTTCTTTCCATATGCAGTGTATGCACTGTTACATCATTTGACAGGAGGCTGGGTGGGCCCCAGAGCCGGTCTGGACGCAGAGGCAAGAGGAAAAATCCTCTGCCCCTGTCGGGGATCGAACCCCAGTCGTCCAGCCCGTAGTCACTATACTGACTGAGCTATCCCGGCTCACACAAATTATAAAATATAATGGACAAAATTAATCATGAAATGAGATTATATATAGTATATCAAAGTACTTGTTCTGTTTTAAATTTTAAAAAACTCGATCCATCGATTACTTATACAGAACTTGGAAATTTTACTACCTTCCTGTAAGGAATATTGTGGTTGAGTATGTCTGCATAAAAGTGTCATAATCCGTTACGAAATAGTAGACTCAGAAAACAACCTTTCGTTCAAGCAGCAGACCATAATTATTTTTAAAAATCCATATTCAAAGTCTCACAGGCGATAAGATTTTGGTCCTCTTATTGCAATTAAATTTTACGAGGGTCGCTCATTAAGTAACTTCAGTCACTAAATTTTAAATAAACGCACTTACCTGCCATGTCTACCCATGGAGCATATATGGAACAGCTGGCAATCTGCCTCCAAGTCGGCGTAGTAGCCTCCGGGAATCTTGTCAGCACAAGTGAAGTTTGTCTCAGGCAGTGAAGTTAGAGGAGGAGTCTGGGACTTTGCTGCCGAGTGTCTGGTGGTCTCAGTACCGCTAGTTGGAAGATTCTGTTGAATACCGTCTTTCCTTATCATGTCTTGATACGCACTTGAAACACCTAATTTTCTTCTATGGCTCCTAATATTAGAGGCCTCTGTATTAGGACTGTTTAAATTTCTTTCATCTACATCTTCAAAATCAGAATATCTGTGACCATCTCTTCTACTTGTTATATCGTCACTTGAGTGAGAGTTTAGCGAACTTCTTGGCAGATACTCACGAGTATCAGCAGCATCCAGTGAGGTCCTCTGCTTGCTTCTTTGCCCGGATCTTTCAGAGTTATTTTCATTCCGATTACTTTCAGAAGGCTGATGTTGGAGATGTCTGTTTCCTCCTCTACCACGAGTTCTTGCAATATCAACATTTTTTGCAAAATTTTGTGATAGCTGAGGATTATCTGCATTTATCCCAATACTTACTGCGGATGGTTTGTAGGAACTTTCTACAGATCTTGAAGTAGATGTTATTAACCAAACTGGTACTGTAGATACTTCAGTAGATTTGTCAAGTAACCTTGGTATTTCAGAAGGAATGTGGTCCTCTGTAGTTGGTACGTTTTGTTTATGAAGTCTTCTGACTTTAACGACTCTATGGTGTCCGTGATGGTTTTCAGGTCTTACGGGAGAATCTAATATGGTACTTTCTGAATTATTTGGAGTAATATTTAGCAAGGAAATGCCAGAATATTGTGTTGGCTGCTGTTGAACGTCTGCTACTACTGTCTGAACTTGACGTGTTACAGAAACAAAGGGACTGGGTCTTAATCTTCCAGCAGGTTGCTTTGACTCTGGAATACTTGTTCGTTTGGATCGAGACTCCACTCTAGTTTGTCCTCTCGAATTACTCTGATGACTTGACCTTTCATCAGAAATCACGCTTTGACCTGGCCGGTTTTCGTGTCTTTCTTTACCGGTTCCAGATATTCTACTTGGCAGTTCCATCCGCTCTGAAGCTTTCCGTTTGTACCTTAAATTATGAGGTGGTAAAAAGCCACTTTTCTTCAGTACATTAACCGCTTCACGTTTCTTTTTAACAATTCCATGTCGTGCTGGAGATGGCTTCAAAATTTTTGGCACGTCTCTAAAGAACGGGTCTGAAGCAACATCTCCTTCCTGATATTCGTCATATGAAGTTGTAGGTGTTGTATCAGAAAATAACTGGACAGACACTGAGGAACTGTTTGGAACACTAGATCCTGCTGGAGAATTTCCAATATTTGATGTTAATGATATTACTGGAGGAATATCGCCAACCTTTCCTCCTAGGCCACTTCTTACATGTGAACTTCTTGAAGTGCTGCTAGTGGTTGCAACCACTGCTACCGAAGGAGTTGTTAAGAGTTGATGAGGCTGATATTTATTATCATTTGATGTAAACTGGAAGGTGAGAGGATTCTGAGAAATTCGAATCGTTTGCGTATGGAAACCGCCATCGTTGGAATGTATTTGTTGAAACAGAGGATGAGGAGGAATTTGATGTGCATTTGTTTCTAGTGGAAAATGAGAGTTTCTAGGAGGCTGTCTAGTAGTTTGAACAGGTATCTGTGGACCTTTTGCATGAAAAGAGAAGTGTTCAATAGGAGGAGAGCTGACAGTAGTCGAATATCCATTAGGACTTTTTGAAGTAAAAGGTATTGGAGGTTGTTGAGTTGTTGATGAGAATAAGAACTGACTTTTGTTATCTGAGTTTGCAGTTGGTTTAAAACCATGATGACTTTTCTTCTCATTATCCCTTTGTTGATTCAGTATCAAGTGTATGTTTAGCTGGTGTTTGGAATGAGCATTTTCATCTTGAATTACAGGAGGATTCTGATGTCCATACAAGTGGGATGAATGATACTTCTGTTGTTCTTGTCTGTTTGATTGGTTCAAGATCAAACCACTTTCCCCTATACCATGTACTTTCACGTTTATCTGTGGTACGTTGTGATGTTCTGGGCTAACAAGTTGATTCTGACTGCTGACTGTGGTTACAGGAAAATGGTGATTTACGCCTCTGTTTATGACAACCTCAGGATGATCTGTAATGGGATCATCGTCTTCCTCTTCATCTTCATCATACTGGCTAGAACTGTCTTCAGATTCCTCTCCTTTCTGGTTGGTATTTGAAGATGAGAAAGCGTTGTTGATTGCAAGAAATGATTGGTATTCGAAGAAGAGAAAGCGTTGTTGATTGCAAGAAATGCTGCTATTGACGGAGGTGTGGTTGAATGGAAGTGACTTAAATGCTGAGTAGGCTTATATGTTGTGGTGGGAACAAATGGATGGACAGGCGTTTTTGGAGTAGTTGTGGAAGCAGGGTGGAGAATAATAGGGGTAGAACTAGGAAGAGTAGCAGCGGAAGGTTTAGAAGTGGACACCTTGTGTTTCACGCCATGGCCCTGAGAAGATGTATCGATGGTCTCTGCATGTTTTTCAGATTCAGTTTTCTCTTCTTCTTCTTCTTCTACTTCTTCTTCTTCTTCTTCAGCCTCTTCTCTTTGGAAACTGAAAAGTTAATAAAATGAGAGATTAATATGTTAATGAGAAAATAAATTATATAAGGTGATTCAGTGATTGAGGACATTATTGAAGAGGTTGTTATGAAAATAATTAGTGTGCAGAAAATGTAAATAATTTTGTTTGAGAGTTGCCACCGTGGTGCAGAAAATGCAAATAATTTTGTTTGAGAGTTGCCACCGTTTCTGAGTTATGAAGTACTTCCATTAATGTTGCTATTATTGTGACCATCTGACTGAGGCTCTGCGTTGACAGTTTGTGGATGTAAGAAGAGTTAAAGCACAGTCATGATACTTGAGTAGTGAAAACAGGAACAGTGGCAATAACATAAGAACCTACATTTAGTAATACTACATATGGAGGCACATGGATCGCAGACAATCTTACCAATTTGTATTTTAAATGGTGATATAATGATCAGATGCAGAAGAAAGAACTTTCAGTACAAAAATTAATTGTCCTCAGACATATTTTAATGCAGAAAGTCCTCACCTGAGAGCAGCGCTGCTTCCATATAGTTCGAGGTTCAGGCCGTAGAAGCCCTCAGTCTTACTGCAGTCCACTTCATCCACGCGCTCACACACCCTGGTTTCCTGGTCAAACACTGTGCCATTGAGGCATAAAAATTTTATATCTGTTATCTCTCCTGCAAAACAAGAATGTAACAAAATTTTAAAATACAAAATTATCTTGTCAAGGAGTTTCTTTGAGACTAAATATCATGTGATGTTTTGAAATAATGGAACGCCACACATTTGTAAAGGAGGAATTCTGACATTTGTTATTCTGAAATTTTTCATTCAAAGGAAAGAATTTTAAAAATTGCGTAAGAATGCTGATAAAATTGATTTACAGAGCAAACAGTCCTTTAAAAAGTAACAAGGCTTAAAATCAATTATTAATCACTTTCAGATTGTAAAATATTTTATTTCGCTGTACTTTATTAAGCTCTTCATTTTTGTCAAATTCTGGTATTTTAAAAGACTCCTGACCAAATATTTTGCAGTTGAATATCACATACCTTTTTGACCAATTGTGCAGACATGGAACATCTGGCAACCTGTCTCAATATCTGCATAATAACCTCCGATAACTTTACCCTCGCAGGAAAAATTGGTGTCTGGTAAGTTATCAAAATCCAAGTACTAAAAACAAAATAAACAATTACACAGTCAATATATGATTTAAAAACTGGCTGAGGAGGAAAAGTATATCAGACGACCGGGGTTCGATCCCCGACGGGGGCAGAGGATTTTTCCTCTAGCCTCTGCGTCCAGACCGGCTCTGGGGCCCACCCAGCCTCCTGT